AGGGGGAAACAGGTCCTTGTGGGGGGCCAGAAGGCTGCCAAAGCAGGGGAGAGACAGCCTGTTGAAGGGGGGTGGCCTGAGACCGAGGTGAGGGAGAGGGGTGGGAGGAGGGGGTCTGACCAGGTTACAGGAGGCTGAGTGGGGCAGAAGAGACCCCCGTACACACCTTCCTTTCCCTTATGATGTCAGGGAGGCTTTATTCCTTCCCCGCAGTGGGGATGTGAGGGAAGGGGAGGTGGGGAGAAAACTGCAGCAGTGGGGTGAGCCCTCTTACACTTGCAGGGGAGGCCCTGACGCTTGCACTGACCCCAGGTCTCAGCCCTGTGGGGACAGCCCGTGTCCCCTCCTGGCCTGGGCTTGTTTGGGGTGTCAGTGCTGTTTCCTGCCCTGGTGTACTGGGACAACGAGCAGCGATCCCAGGTGGAGAGCAGGGGTGATACTGGGCTCCAAGGTGCCAGTGGCCAATCTCCATCCCGTTCCTTTTCCTTTCTCCAGCGCTCCCAGCAGCTGAAGCGTTCAGCATGGCTGGTCCCAGCACCACACCGCTTGAACTCTGGCCTGCCCGTGAATATCGGGGTGCTCTTTGTGCCGCAGCAGGAGGCTTGGGTGGTGGAGAGGATGGGCAAGTTCCACCGAATCCTTGAGCCTGTGAGGAGCTACTTTTCTCCACTTCTGTAAACAAAACGTGTTCTTTGCCTTTGTTCTCTCTTTCTGGTGTGTTCGTTCTTCCAGACTGCAGTCCTTTTGACTGCCTGTAGACTAGCTTCCCTTGGTGTGGTGGTAAAAGCACCGAGCGAACCTAAATTCCCCCCATGTGTAAAGCACGTGTGCTCTGGCAGCAGCACCTGCAGCGTCTTGTGTACTTGGTCTTTGTTTGCACAGCTCTCTCTAGTCTGGCTGAGCTCTCTGGGAGGAAAACCTCAGATTAGAGGGCTCAGCCATCTAATCCCACCCTTTTCCCAGGGTTTGAACTTCCTCATCCCTCTGCTGGACCGGATTCGTTATGTGCAGAGTCTCAAAGAAATCGTCATTAATGTCCCAGAGCAGTCAGCTGTCACCTTAGGTAAGGAACAGCTTGTGCGCGCTGCCCCTTTCCTTCCGCTGCATCCAGGGTGAGCAAGTGACAGCACAGGGAGGAGTAGGAGTGTCCCAGGCTCCTGCACTCAGCCCTGTGCCTGGGAACCCAGGCTTGGCTGTGCCTCTGACACTGTGAGCAGGACAACCCCAGTAGGTTCTGTCTGCCCTCGAGGGGCTGCAGCTGTCCCTTCTTGCTGGGTTGAACTCACCTGGGCAGGAATCCATTTTGGGCAGGAATCCATTTTTCAGATATATTCTTGTGTTGAGCAATGAAAAATCTCTTCTGTGTTTCTGTAAAATGTAATTCAGGTGAGGTTAATGGACAACTCTGTTACAATTCTAGTCCTAAGATTTTTGTTTGGTTTTTTTTTTCCCCCTTAAATCTTTCTTCATGAAGAAGATAACTGCAGTATGGAATGTTTTGATCTGGACACCTGAGACTTCTTGTGTATTAAAACATTAAAATGTAGTGTTTTCTAGGGAATGTCAAGGTCCCTCTTACAAAGATAAGGAGATCTGTTTCAGCCAGTCCCTCTTCTGTGACACGCTGTTGACACCAGATAGGAAAGGGGTGACCTTGCCCAGCTGTGCTAGCCCTGCCGAGGAGGAGAGGGTTGCCATGTTTTGCCTTTGCTGTTCTGGTAAACAGGATGTGTTGTTCTCTCCTGACAGATAACGTCACGCTGCAGATTGACGGTGTGCTCTATCTGAGGGTTATGGACCCCTACAAGGTACAGTCCCTGCTGCGCCGACACTCACTCAGCCTGAGTCAGACGTGCAGCCCCTGTTGCTGCGCCCAGCATAGTCTGCGCACGCCGCGCTGCTCAGCTGGCCGCCTCAGTAGCCCCTCGGGCACCACTCGCCTGGCTCTGCTGGCCCCCTCCTCCCCACGACGCTTCAGCTTCTGCCCAGCTTGCTGCACCCCGCAAGGCGAGCGGGCTGAGCACCTCGTCCCCTGTTGAGGGAACAGCGGGAGGAGGGAAAGGCAGATCTCGGCTCTGGACCTCCTTTCCTTGGCAGGGGTATCTGCGGCAAGTCTCTCATCTAATGCTGTTTGCCTGTCCTACTTCGTTCAGGGTCTTTCGTGGCCCTGCCATCAACTCTGTTTTTTGCTTCTGCTCTCCAGGCCAGCTATGGGGTGGAAGATCCTGAGTACGCAGTGACCCAGCTGGCCCAGACCACCATGAGATCTGAACTTGGCAAACTCTCCCTTGACAGAGTCTTCCGGGTGAGCTGGGGCGGTGGATCGTGGAGCTGCCAGCATCTCTCAAAACCCAGGGGCAGCCTGCGCAGCCCGCTGATGCGCTTAGCAGCAAACACCCTCTGCTTGGAGAGCTGCTGGCTTCAGTTTCTGTTGACCTGTTAGTGAATCTTTGAAGATGGGTCTTGTTTCCGTTATTTTTTTTTAACAGGAGCTATTTTTCACCCTGCCCTGGGTTAGTTGGAAGGGGTGATGGGTGGCCCATGGCCAGACCCAGCTGGTGCGGCTGCGTTTCTTCTGAGTCGATGACTCTTTGTTCAGGCCCAGTGATGAGTGTCCTGGCTGAGCTGGTGCAGGGCGACTGTAACCATCGTGCTGCATTTGCTGGGCAGAAACAGGAGCCGTTTGCATTCCTTGATGATGTTTGTATCCAGATGTACACCAGATGTTTATTTCCCAGCAATTTTCAGTTTGGGGCACTGCTCTCCTTAGGAGATGGTGACCCCTTCAAGAGGTGTGGGAAGCGCGTGACGCTGCCTTACACCTGTGGAGATGGGTTTTTCTGGCTGACCGTGGCCTGTGAGGGGAAGCATCTGTTTTCCTCCTGACCCCTGTCCTCCTGCTAAGTACCTCTCCTTTGCTCTCTGCTGTTCCTTTTGTGCCTCTCAGGAGCGGGAGTCCCTCAATGCCAACATTGTGGATGCCATCAACCAGGCTTCAGACTGCTGGGGCATCCGGTGCCTGCGCTATGAGATCAAGGACATCCATGTGCCCCCACGTGTGAAGGAATCCATGCAGATGCAGGTTTGGTTCTCTGGGAGGGCGATCTGGAACAAGGGGGAAGTCTCCTTTTCCACACTGCCCAGTTGTTTTCCAGCCAGAGCTGGCAGCACTGGCCCCTCCTGCAGTGAGGGAAGCCCGTTGGCACTTTGGCTGGAAACCAACAGCTATTGAATAAGTGATTCTCATCCCCATCCTCATCCTCTGCTAAGCCATGCATGCCCAAGCAGGATGTAGGAGCATATCTTCGCTGTACCTGCCCCATGTATGTTGTTTCTCCAGTGTGGCTGTGGCATGCTGGAATCTGACCTGTGTTTGCAGGTGGAGGCAGAGCGACGGAAGCGGGCGACAGTGCTGGAGTCAGAGGGGACGCGGGAATCGGCTATCAACGTGGCAGAGGGGCAGAAGCAGGCCCAGATCCTAGCGTCAGAGGCTGAGAAGGCCGAACAAATCAACAAAGCTGCTGGTAGTGCCGTGGGCTAGAATATGTGGGGCCCGGGGGTCCTAGAACCCTCCAGACTGAGGGGTAATGCTGCCAAGGAGCAGACCGCATCACTCTCTGTGTGCCAGGCTTCCTCAGCTACGCCGATCCTTCTCTGCTGGGCCCTCAGGCTGAGCTCCAGCTCGTGTTGCTGCCCGCAGCCTGGGGCGGCGGGAGGTGTGTGGCTGTGCGGCTGTTGGGGAAGAGGAGGCTTTACACGCGTGAAATTGTCTTCATCTGCTCCGTGAAATTGTGTGGATTCACTCCGTGCAAGCACTGTGTTGCAGCTCTGACGGGCATTCTGCTGTGGTTTGTTGCAGGAGAAGCCAATGCCATGCTGGTCAAGGCCAGGGCTAAGGCAGAGGCTATTCAGCTCCTGGCAGCTGCTCTGGCACAGCAGGTGAGCAACAGCAGCTCGGGGCGGCCATTGCTTCAGCGCTGGCACTGGGGGAGGTGAAACCACAGCCGGGGCGGTGCCTGGCTTTTCTCTTGGATGCTCCCTGGCGTCTTAAGTAGCAGCGAGTGAGGAGTGTTACTGTCTGGGGGGCTGCTGCCAGCTGGGACGGGCAGGGATGGGCTCTTGGTGGTACGGGACTCGCTGCTGAGCCTCATCTCTCCCTCTCCTCAGCATGGCAGTGCCGCTGCCTCTCTCTCTGTGGCAGAGCAGTACGTGAACGCCTTCTCCAAGCTCGCCAAAGATTCCAACACCCTCCTGCTGCCTGCCAACACCGGTGACGTCACCAACATGGTCGCGCAGGTCAGTGTGCTTTTAGAGACCCCGTCTCTTTCCTGGGGGAGGTGAAGGTG